TACTACTTTTATGACTCTTAAAAATAAGTATAAAGCTGTGATCTAAAAAAGCAATGAAAAACTCGGATTTTCATCTTTATAGCCTCTCTAGCTTAGTAGCAAAAAATGATACCTCTTTTTTGTCAGTTTTTAACTGATTTTCAAATAGTCGTTGTTTTTATTCAATAAAAATTTAATGAAAAATTCAGATTTTTGCTTTTTTAGCCATTCTAGCTCTGTAAAAAAAAGATAGCCACTCGTTTTTGTCAATTATAGCTCCCTTCTATTCTAATCCACCTCACTCCCCCCCCCCCGCCTCCCCAACACACAGACATATCTTCTCCCTCCCCCACCTATTTGACACCCCCGTAAGTTTTTTGTTTCATTGCAAGCGGGTGTAAAATCTGTAGCGTAGGGTAGGGGGGTTTAAGGTGTGTGTGCATGTCTGAGCGTATGTGAGGAGAGGACACGTGTTTACGGTTCTTTTCACGTACTTTTACGGTAAATATAAAGTGATGGTAAGCAAGGAAAAAGGAAGATGATGGGAGCAAGCATGAAGTATTTAAGAGTTAGGGGAGGGAACAACACATTCTTTGCTGTAACCAAAAGTAAAACACAATTTAGCGATTGCAGCGTTCAAAATTTGGATATTCACTTTCAAAGTTATCGAAAATTTGGGATTTTAATCAAAAAATCTACACAGAGGCGATTTTCTAGCACATTCCAAACGGTGATGTTTTAAACCTTCTCCACACCCAAAAAGTCCTCCTCTGGTAATCTAAACCAATTCCAAGATCAAAAACTTCCAACGTGCCCAAAAACGTCCAAAGTACCCAAACTAGTGTTGGGATGTCTAACTTCGTATTTTCGATTTTTTAAAGGATTCCGCGACAAAGCTGGAAAAGGCTTTGTCAAGAAATTCGAAATAGGCTTGAACTAAATGCTTGCTGAAGTAGCAAAACTTGCCAAATCCCGAACAAAGTTTACAAAATCCAGAACAGTTCATAGAATCTACTAACAAATAATTACGTAAAATTAGTAATGAATTGCGCTGATGTGGAATCCTCATTTTGAAAGCAGAACTCGCACTTTCCGAGCGGAAGTGGTATGTTTTTGCGGAATCCAGTATAAACTATAAATACCTGTTTAAGAGCAGTTATTGAGGCTTCACAGTAACTGTTCTTCAACAAGTTTTAGGTTTAGACCAAAAAATTGAGCTTTAACGATAAGGAAAAAAACAGTGATCAAACGATAATAAAAACAGAACACAAATCAATAATAAAAAAGTGTTAAACTATTATTGTTCTGTCTTTTTACATCAAATTATATCAATTTGTATCAACATTATCTCTTGTTTGTTTTTGTACAACTGGTTTCAACAGGGAAGAAACAGATCATCACGACACTTTCTGTAAGGTTGCACATATAACCTTGAAAAAAAAACCAATGTCACTAAAGCGGAAAAATGTACGATTTCGAAAAAAAAGGTGAAAAACCAAATCTTCACCTGTGGATGTTCAATTAGAAAAGATGTTCAATTTGAGGTGAGCAAAGAGGAGAACGATATTTTACGGGGTTTGTTTAGCCTACAAACAGTTTACCAAGCAGAAGTTAGTTGCAAAACACTTGGATAGACGTCTGCTCAGCCGGGAAAAAAATCCCAAAAAACTTTAACCAAAAAAAATGTGACTCCAATTTAACGGGTCCTCCAGAGCACGCAAAAGCACAAAACTTTTCAACTTTTTACTATAAAAAAATAAAGCCAATTTAACATAAGCCGTAACCATCCAACCTAAATTTCTTCAAAGCAAAAACTGAAAACAAAAATTATACAAACATTGAAACTTAACATCCTCCATTTCCACAATAAAGTACTTAAATTAGGTATGGCACTCTAAAACATTGAAACGTTTCTCAGTATTCAAGCAAAAACCATGCTTTGGAAATTAGGACGACAAAAAATTTGCAGACAAAACAAACGATATTCCGACAACTTAAGTTATTACAGGAAAAATCACCTTTCACAGTTTGAAAGAAGTTGCAGCCATAACTCAAAGGAAGACCTCAGACTCCAGAGGCATGATTGACGACATGAGACAACTAATAAGATTAACAAAGCTGAGAGTCACAAGCGTTTATCTCAATTGCAGAGAGCTGGCGTTTTGTCCAATGCGAATGGCTTCACAGCTATTTATTTTCAACGCTGATTATTAATTATTAGTGTTCAGACAAAAATAATTTTAAATTAATTTTGAAAAATCAAAGCAAAACTTTGTGTTTATAAGTCGATTTCTAGCCCAAAGGCTCACGCGTTGAACTTATCTTTACCAAAATTTTCTGTTAGCTAGAAAAATCGAATTGAATCTATATTTAATTTCGGTAATCCGCAATTCTAAAACTTCCGTGAACAGCTAGTGACCTTTTTGAAACACTTCGAAAAAAGATACTGTTTGTGGGTAATGGGGTGCAGTTAATCATGTCACCCCTTAAAGATGCAGTTAATGGACCACGGGTTTTTTTAACCAGTTTTAGGATAAGATTTGATATTGGATTTCAAGGAAAACATTCAAGAACTTTTATTCTGTAAATCGCATTTGATTCAATTACCGCTCTTTAAATTTAGCTAGCTTTTAAGATTTCAGCTTAAACGCTACAATAAATCTGAAATTTTCCCCAAGGACAACATTTTTCTTACAAAAAACGAATCGCAGCTTCTGCGGGCAAAGCTATCGCAACCGGTTCTTTTGATTGAATTGCTCATCTCATATTTGATAGGGTAGCAATTAATGAAAAAAATCAAAAATTTGTACAAAGTGGCCAAAAGTTGAAAAACGTGGCTTTACGAAATCCGTCAATTTTATCAGCAAAAAATAAGTTGGGGCCGCTTAAGCACAAAAATTTTCCAAAACTGGGTTTCTAAATAAATCTCTCAATCTAATAACTACTTTGCAAAAAGTTTTTAAAAAATTTCCAATTATCTCAAAAAATCAAATTGAGTAGAAAAAAAAACAATTTTATACAATTTCATAGTACTTATTTTAACAGACAGGATTTCTAGGAAAATTTTTGAAATTCAAGATAGCAATGGAAATATCCTTCCGAAGTGGAAAAATTGAGCGTAAACAAGCTTTAAATCTTTTTCCTGGAAAAAAAGTCACCAATACCGATATAAATGTACACACTACTTTTATGACTTTTAAAAATCAGTATGAGGGTGTTATCTTAAAAAGCAAACAAAAAAATTAGATTTTCACTTTATAGTCTTTCCAGCTTAGTAGCAAAGAACGATACCCCTTTTTTAGTCAATTTTTAATTGATTTTAAAATAACCGCTGTTTTTATTCAAAAAAGTAAATAAATAAAAAACTCGGATTTTTAATTTTATAGACCTTCTAGCCTGGTAACAAAAAATGATAGCCCCCATCTATCAGAATCCACCTCACCCCCCCCCCCCTCCCTAACACTCACACCTACCTTCCCCCTCCTCACCTAATTGACACCATCTAAGTTTTTTTCATGCGTGTGGGTGTAGAAGTCTGTAGCGTAGGAATTGTGTAGGGGGGTTAAAGGTGTGTGTGTGGATGGGGCACGCGTTTACGGTGCTTTTCACATACTTTTACGGTAAATAAGAGGTGGTGGTAAGTAAGGGAAAAAGGATAGTGGGAGTAAGCGTGAAGTATTTGGGAGAAACGGGAGACAAAAGAAAAAAAAACAAATGGAAAACAAGACTAATTTTGCTAACCAAATGTAAAACACAATTTAGCGAAAGCAACGTTCAAATTTTGAATATTCACTTTCAAAGTTCTCAAAAATCCGGGATTTTACTTATAAAATCTACAGAGGCGAAGCTGCGCTTCTCAAACACTTGCGAGAACACGACCAAAAAGCAGCTATAGAAAGTGCAACAAAAAAAATAGAAATAAAAACCGAAACAGCAAAAACTCGGCTAGGACTAGAATTCTTTCGACGACCTACTGTAATCGAGAGATTTTCAGTCGCACTATCCACACAGCCACGCAGTCCTTAACAACCGACAAACACTAGTCACGATTAAAGCAGCTACATGTGCTAATAAATTGCCAATGCGATTCAACAAAAGTGGCACCAAATACAAATAGACACAACTTTGCCAGTAATAATTTGGAACATAACAAATTCAAGGCATTCACAGTAACCTTGCATGTAACCAAACGCAAAGCATAAATCCACAAAATGTATAAATTATGCATTTTAAAAAAATTGCGAAAAATATTTAGTTAGAAACTGTAAAGGTGCCCCTAAAATGGCACCACTATTTGCGACTGAGGTTGGAAAAAACAGGAAGGTTCGTACTAAAACACTCGCTTCGCAAGTGTAATCATCACCCCTCCAAAGCCATTATAATCTATTTAAATTCATTATCGTCTATTATAATTTATTGTAATGGATTAAATTGATATCTACTTTATTTTCGTTTTATAATCGATTATTAAGCTCTTTTAGAGACAGACCATGAAAAACTATTATAGTCGACTTTCATCCATGTAACCTTGTTGCGGGTCACTATGTTTATTACTCGTAAAAAAACACCATAAATTGAAGACAAAAGAGCCTATAAATAGCGTTCATTTATCGAGACAAAATTCTGAAACTACTACTGAAACCTTGCAAAACTGAGAAATCTGCGAATAAATTGGAAAGAAAAGATCTTGATGCAAGCGATATCTTGTTGGAGTCCGAATCACCACAGAAGGTTACTTAAGCACTTTTCAAAAAAATTCGGCCCTAAATTAAATTCGCTCCCTACCTATCTCGGATCGGAACCAAAAAATCAGGAGTCCACGACAAGCGAGTTTTTGGGCCAAATTGAATCAAATTATAACACAATAAATCATAGGAATAATCTAAGGGTCCTCAATCTTTATCATTGGCGTCAAAAGGTTTCATTCGCGTCGAAAGGTTTAATGCGCCTTTCCTGTGTTGTCAGGGATCTTTGCTTGTCTTCGAATTATATTCGAATTATTATTGTCTGATGAACGTGTTCGTGCTATAGGGCAGTCAACTGAAACCCAAATGCGTTCGATTGTTTCTGTTCCTACAATTTATCTTAACGAATTAAGTTCGACGCGAATGAAGCTAATTAAGCTGAGTATTGATTTGAAAACGAATTTCTAATTTGCAGTTTTTAGTGTAGACGGTACTAATTTGTCCTTTCTTGGTCTGAAGCAATACTGCCTGTAGCACCTTCGGTTTCGGTTTGACCTTGACCTTTGAGTTCTCCTTTGCCCTCCAGTTGAGCAAGCCAGAGGTGACATTTCGCAATGTTATATCCGTACTCTGCTTCTTCTAAAGTCCGAAGACCTTCTATCAATCTACCCCTAAATAGCTTAAGAATTAGTCAACTAAGTCCATATGTGATATAGCTTGACTTTCATGTCGACAACGTTTCCAATCAAATTTCCAATATTTAGGGCAAATAAGTTCTTTAAAAGCAACAACTGTTACTATGCGATGCTCGTAGGTGTTTTTTGTTCAAAAACCAATTAATTTAATCCATGGGAACTATAGTGATTATTTTACACACAACTTCCCTTCTTTTTCCTGGACCGAAGTCTTCGTCGTCCTTCTTGGATCCAACTCCTTCCCTCGCTTTTCTATTTTCTGAAGACACTTCATTGGAGGCAGTCTTCCGTCTTATCCTGTTGTGTTTGGGGTCAACCATCGCCATTTTCTCATCTAAACAGATCAAGAACCTCGGAAAATCTCCTCTTCCCTTTAGCAATTAAGGTGAAACTGTCCACCATGTTTTTAAACCAACCAGAAAATGCAGAAAACTCACAACTCTCACGAATCAAACAGCAGTAAATAGCACGCATTGAATTACATTGGGTGAAAAAATCATTGAGCTATATGAAGAGAACTTATTTAGGGGTGGAGATTGCAAGTATGTACCACAGAGGAGCAGGGGATTCTGCAGTAGAACCCAGATCAGTTCCATTTGAATTACATTGGGTGAAAAAATCATTGAGCTATATGAAGAGAACTTATTTAGGGGTGGAGATTGCAAGTATGTACCACAGAGGAGCAGGGGATTCTGCAGTAGAACCCAGATCAGTTCCATTTGAATTACATTGGGTGAAAAAATCATTGAGCTATATGAAGAGAACTTATTTAGGGGTGGAGATTGCAAGTATGTACCACAGAGGAGCAGGGGATTCTGCAGTAGAACCCAGATCAGTTCCATTTGAATTACATTGGGTGAAAAAATCATTGAGCTATATGAAGAGAACTTATTTAGGGGTGGAGATTGCAAGTATGTACCACAGAGGAGCAGGGGATTCTGCAGTAGAACCCAGATCAGTTCGATTTGAATTACATTGGGTGAAAAAATCATTGAGCTATATGAAGAGAACTTATTTAGGGGTGGAGATTGCAAGTATGTACCACAGAGGAGCAGGGGATTCTGCAGTAGAACCCAGTTCAGTTCCATTTGAATTACATTGGGTGAAAAAATCATTGAGCTATATGAAGAGAACTTATTTAGGGGTGGAGATTGCAAGTATGTACCACAGAGGAGCAGGGGATTCTGCAGTAGAACCCAGATCAGTTCCATTTGAATTACATTGGGTGCAAAAATCATTGAGCTATATGAAGAGAACTTATTTAGGGGTGGAGATTGCAAGTATGTACCACAGAGGAGCAGGGGATTCTGCAGTAGAACCCAGATCAGTTCCATTTGAATTACATTGGGTGAAAAAATCATTGAGCTATATGAAGAGAACTTATTTAGGGGTGGAGATTGCAAGTATGTACCACAGAGGAGCAGGGGATTCTGCAGTAGAACCCAGATCAGTTCCATTTGAATTACATTGGGTGAAAAAATCATTGAGCTATATGAAGAGAACTTATTTAGGGGTGGAGATTGCAAGTATGTACCACAGAGGAGCAGGGGATTCTGCAGTAGAACCCAGATCAGTTCCATTTGAATTACATTGGGTGAAAAAATCATTGAGCTATATGAAGAGAACTTATTTAGGGGTGGAGATTGCAAGTATGTACCACAGAGGAGCAGGGGATTCTGCAGTAGAACCCAGATCAGTTCCATTTGAATTACATTGGGTGAAAAAATCATTGAGCTATATGAAGAGAACTTATTTAGGGGTGGAGATTGCAAGTATGTACCACAGAGGAGCAGGGGATTCTGCAGTAGAACCCAGATCAGTTCCATTTGAATTACATTGGGTGAAAAAATCATTGAGCTATATGAAGAGAACTTATTTAGGGGTGGAGATTGCAAGTATGTACCACAGAGGAGCAGGGGATTCTGCAGTAGAACCCAGATCAGTTCGATTTGAATTACATTGGGTGAAAAAATCATTGAGCTATATGAAGAGAACTTATTTAGGGGTGGAGATTGCAAGTATGTACCACAGAGGAGCAGGGGATTCTGCAGTAGAACCCAGATCAGTTCCATTTGAATTACATTGGGTGAAAAAATCATTGAGCTATATGAAGGGAACTTATTTAGGGGTGGAGATTGCAAGTATGTACCACAGAGGAGCAGGGGATTCTGCAGTAGAACCCAGATCAGTTCCATTTGAATTACATTGGGTGAAAAAATCATTGAGCTATATGAAGAGAACTTATTTAGGGGTGGAGATTGCAAGTATGTACCACAGAGGAGCAGGGGATTCTGCAGTAGAACCCAGATCAGTTCCATTTGAATTACATTGGGTGAAAAAATCATTGAGCTATATGAAGAGAACTTATTTAGGGGTGGAGATTGCAAGTATGTACCACAGAGGAGCAGGGGATTCTGCAGTAGAACCCAGATCAGTTCCATTTGAATTACATTGGGTGAAAAAATCATTGAGCTATATGAAGAGAACTTATTTAGGGGTGGAGATTGCAAGTATGTACCACAGAGGAGCAGGGGATTCTGCAGTAGAACCCAGATCAGTTCCATTTGAATTACATTGGGTGAAAAAATCATTGAGCTATATGAAGAGAACTTATTTAGGGGTGGAGATTGCAAGTATGTACCACAGAGGAGCAGGGGATTCTGCAGTAGAACCCAGATCAGTTCCATTTGAATTACATTGGGTGAAAAAATCATTGAGCTATATGAAGAGAACTTATTTAGGGGTGGAGATTGCAAGTATGTACCACAGAGGAGCAGGGGATTCTGCAGTAGAACCCAGATCAGTTCCATTTGAATTACATTGGGTGAAAAAATCATTGAGCTATATGAAGAGAACTTATTTAGGGGTGGAGATTGCAAGTATGTACCACAGAGGAGCAGGGGATTCTGCAGTAGAACCCAGATCAGTTCCATTTGAATTACATTGGGTGAAAAAATCATTGAGCTATATGAAGAGAACTTATTTAGGGGTGGAGATTGCAAGTATGTACCACAGAGGAGCAGGGGATTCTGCAGTAGAACCCAGATCAGTTCCATTTGAATTACATTGGGTGAAAAAATCATTGAGCTATATGAAGAGAACTTATTTAGGGGTGGAGATTGCAAGTATGTACCACAGAGGAGCAGGGGATTCTGCAGTAGAACCCAGATCAGTTCCATTTGAATTACATTGGGTGAAAAAATCATTGAGCTATATGAAGAGAACTTATTTAGGGGTGGAGATTGCAAGTATGTACCACAGAGGAGCAGGGGATTCTGCAGTAGAACCCAGATCAGTTCCATTTGAATTACATTGGGTGAAAAAATCATTGAGCTATATGAAGAGAACTTATTTAGGGGTGGAGATTGCAAGTATGTACCACAGAGGAGCAGGGGATTCTGCAGTAGAACCCAGATCAGTTCCATTTGAATTACATTGGGTGAAAAAATCATTGAGCTATATGAAGAGAACTTATTTAGGGGTGGAGATTGCAAGTATGTACCACAGAGGAGCAGGGGATTCTGCAGTAGAACCCAGATCAGTTCCATTTGAATTACATTGGGTGAAAAAATCATTGAGCTATATGAAGAGAACTTATTTAGGGGTGGAGATTGCAAGTATGTACCACAGAGGAGCAGGGGATTCTGCAGTAGAACCCAGATCAGTTCCATTTGAATTACATTGGGTGAAAAAATCATTGAGCTATATGAAGAGAACTTATTTAGGGGTGGAGATTGCAAGTATGTACCACAGAGGAGCAGGGGATTCTGCAGTAGAACCCAGATCAGTTCCATTTGAATTACATTGGGTGAAAAAATCATTGAGCTATATGAAGAGAACTTATTTAGGGGTGGAGATTGCAAGTATGTACCACAGAGGAGCAGGGGATTCTGCAGTAGAACCCAGATCAGTTCCATTTGAATTACATTGGGTGAAAAAATCATTGAGCTATATGAAGAGAACTTATTTAGGGGTGGAGATTGCAAGTATGTACCACAGAGGAGCAGGGGATTCTGCAGTAGAACCCAGATCAGTTCCATTTGAATTACATTGGGTGAAAAAATCATTGAGCTATATGAAGAGAACTTATTTAGGGGTGGAGATTGCAAGTATGTACCACAGAGGAGCAGGGGATTCTGCAGTAGAACCCAGATCAGTTCCATTTGAATTACATTGGGTGAAAAAATCATTGAGCTATATGAAGAGAACTTATTTAGGGGTGGAGATTGCAAGTATGTACCACAGAGGAGCAGGGGATTCTGCAGTAGAACCCAGATCAGTTCCATTTGAATTACATTGGGTGAAAAAATCATTGAGCTATATGAAGAGAACTTATTTAGGGGTGGAGATTGCAAGTATGTACCACAGAGGAGCAGGGGATTCTGCAGTAGAACCCAGATCAGTTCCATTTGAATTACATTGGGTGAAAAAATCATTGAGCTATATGAAGAGAACTTATTTAGGGGTGGAGATTGCATGTATGTACCACAGAGGAGCAGGGGATTCTGCAGTAGAACCCAGATCAGTTCCATTTGAATTACATTGGGTGAAAAAATCATTGAGCTATATGAAGAGAACTTATTTAGGGGTGGAGATTGCAAGTATGTACCACAGAGGAGCAGGGGATTCTGCAGTAGAACCCAGATCAGTTCCATTTGAATTACATTGGGTGAAAAAATCATTGAGCTATATGAAGAGAACTTATTAGGGGTGGAGATTGCAAGTATGTACCACAGAGGAGCAGGGGATTCTGCAGTAGAACCCAGATCAGTTCCATTTGAATTACATTGGGTGAAAAAATCATTGAGCTATATGAAGAGAACTTATTTAGGGGTGGAGATTGCAAGTATGTACCACAGAGGAGCAGGGGATTCTGCAGTAGAACCCAGATCAGTTCCATTTGAATTACATTGGGTGAAAAAATCATTGAGCTATATGAAGAGAACTTATTTAGGGGTGGAGATTGCAAGTATGTACCACAGAGGAGCAGGGGATTCTGCAGTAGAACCCAGATCAGTTCCATTTGAATTACATTGGGTGAAAAAATCATTGAGCTATATGAAGAGAACTTATTTAGGGGTGGAGATTGCAAGTATGTACCACAGAGGAGCAGGGGATTCTGCAGTAGAACCCAGATCAGTTCCATTTGAATTACATTGGGTGAAAAAATCATTGAGCTATATGAAGAGAACTTATTTAGGGGTGGAGATTGCAAGTATGTACCACAGAGGAGCAGGGGATTCTGCAGTAGAACCCAGATCAGTTCCATTTGAATTACATTGGGTGAAAAAATCATTGAGCTATATGAAGAGAACTTATTTAGGGGTGGAGATTGCAAGTATGTACCACAGAGGAGCAGGGGATTCTGCAGTAGAACCCAGATCAGTTCCATTTGAATTACATTGGGTGAAAAAATCATTGAGCTATATGAAGAGAACTTATTTAGGGGTGGAGATTGCAAGTATGTACCACAGAGGAGCAGGGGATTCTGCAGTAGAACCCAGATCAGTTCCATTTGAATTACATTGGGTGAAAAAATCATTGAGCTATATGAAGAGAACTTATTTAGGGGTGGAGATTGCAAGTATGTACCACAGAGGAGCAGGGGATTCTGCAGTAGAACCCAGATCAGTTCCATTTGAATTACATTGGGTGAAAAAATCATTGAGCTATATGAAGAGAACTTATTTAGGGGTGGAGATTGCAAGTATGTACCACAGAGGAGCAGGGGATTCTGCAGTAGAACCCAGATCAGTTCCATTTGAATTACATTGGGTGAAAAAATCATTGAGCTATATGAAGAGAACTTATTTAGGGGTGGAGATTGCAAGTATGTACCACAGAGGAGCAGGGGATTCTGCAGTAGAACCCAGATCAGTTCCATTTGAATTACATTGGGTGAAAAAATCATTGAGCTATATGAAGAGAACTTATTTAGGGGTGGAGATTGCAAGTATGTACCACAGAGGAGCAGGGGATTCTGCAGTAGAACCCAGATCAGTTCCATTTGAATTTCTTCGTAGACAACGCTACTTAATCGACATTTTTCGCTAATCTTATTAAAATCGGTTATAAAAAAGCCATCTGTGAAAAAAACATCATCTACGCCATCTGTGACGAAAGTATAGTAATTGAATTTGAGCACCCATCAAAGCAGCTGTAGTAGTCAACAACACTGCAAATAGAATTTACGGGAAAAAATCTTCAACACGAATGACATTGTACCAGATGCGTAACAAAACGAATGACTACGCTAAAATTAACTAACACAAAGGTGAAAAAACTCAAACTCAACGCAAACAGTCATTCGTCGACGACTATTTTGCAAAAAATATCCCAAAAAACATAGAAAACTATCTATTTCTTTTACCAAATCTATTTCTTTTTCAAATACTGTAGACTGCTGACGCTATATCTCCAACTCGGTCGTTACGCATAAAATTTAGGCTACAGAGAGTTGTTACGGTACACAGAGGCGAAAAAGCAAAAAAAATCGATAATTAGGCTTCACAAAACTTTTATACGTTTGTCTGGAATGATGTTCATTTTGAGGAACGCATGCCGACAAAAAATGCTAGTAGTAGAAGATAGCCAAATGACAGTTGGAAAAATAATGAACGCAAGGAAACTGAAAAAACTGACTTGTTTTTTCAAAAACCTTCAATTTTTAAATTTCAAAGAAAACAATAGATGGCCCTAAAGCTCTTTGATTTTGTTGAACAATTTATAATTGACGTTTTTTTGATAAAAATAACACAATTTGAGAAAACGGGATCAAACGGTATAAATTTGATTTCGCTGAGAAATCTGATAATTAATTTCCATTTTCGAAATTAGAAGTCGATCACGCTTTTTGTGACTTCTATATTTTTGCTATTCAATAGTGGAGTTGGCCAACCTTTTAATTAAAAAAATGAAGTGAACCGAAAACCCGCGAAAAATTAAAAATGAGCGTGAACAAATTTTCAGACTTTTTTCCTTAAAAAAATCACCTAGAAAACCAAGACCTAGATAAGAGTAAGTACTCACTACGTTCATTACTCTTGAAACACTGACTTATCTTTGAAAAAAATTTTTGAAAAGCTAACTGATGTTGAAAAAGAGTAACGAACGCAAAAGAAACAAATAAACAACTGATTTATTTTTGAAAAAACTGTCGAACTTCAACTGTCGAATTTTAAAGAAAACATAAATGCCCTCAAAACTCTTTGAAGTCAAAGAAAATCAATTGATTGGTGCTTTTGTTTATGATTGATGCTTTTTTGATGAAACTAAATCATCTTGAGAAAATTGGATTAAAAGGTAACCTTTTAATTCCGCTAGGAAAAGCTAAAATCCACTTTCTAAACTAAAACTTTTTTTCGTTTTTGTGACCTTTACACTCTTGCTGTTCAATAGCGGAATTTGCCTTTCTTTTAACCATGGAACTGAGCTAAACTTAAAAAGATATCAATAGTCAAACTGCAAAAAATTTAAAATGAGCGTTAAGAAATCACCAAGACTTATGTAAGACTTACATAAGAGTCTTGCTCTTAATAAGCAACACGAATTAAAGAAACGGTACCGCAACCTCAGCAGACAAAATTTGGGCAGACGAACGTTGGGTCAAACGAACGTTGGGTCGAGACGCGATGCTTCCAAAAATCGAATAACCGGAATAACCCCGCCACAAAAAAATATTATCGCCCTTCATACAACAAAATTTGCGATGTATGATCAAGCCGATATAACATTCATCATGAAACTCAAGGCCGAGTTAGGAGTTCCAAAAAAAAGGAATAAATTAAAGCACAGAGGCGAAGCTAAGCTTCACATCACTTGCGATACAAAAAAAATGAAGCCAGCTAAATCGAAAAAAAAAAACGAAAAAAATTCAAAAATGTCGAAAAACTAGATCTATCAGAAAGAATAAGGCTGGCTTTGAAACACAAATGTGCCAAGATAACAGGAAAAACCAAAAGCATATAAAAAAACTTACCAGGCTGCAATGAGGCGAAAAATACCCTAGCTGAAAATGAAAACAAAAAAAAAGAAATTTCAACAAACCGAGTTTGTAAAATTACAACATTTAAAAAAATTCACAGATATTTAAAACGAAATTGGACAGATAATTAAAATGCGAACATGCACTTAACCGGTGCATGTTAGCATTTTATTAGCGGTAAATTTTCTGCTAATGGACGTTTTCAGGAAATGAGTCAAGGTGAAGAGTCCTGTGAACACAATTACTTACGGGGGAAAAAGTCTTGTACCCGATTGGAATGCCCTTGCTCATCGGAAGGGTACAAAAATTGGCGAAGAAACCAAGCACGGTCTCGAATTTGAACAATTGATACTTAGTACGACAACCCGTTACTTTATCACCACACTATTGGACTAAAATTGTCAAGTAAATGACTATGTGATTGAACCAAGAAATCAAATGCCAGAAGAAAACAAAGCTTGCATGAGAAAAATCTGAGAATGTCTGACTGCGACTTGAACCATCTACCAACACTATCTGTAAATTGTTAAACACTGCTCATGTGCGATGAACAAATATTAAAAAAATGAGCAAAAAAAACATCGTTTAGTTTAAGAAGAAACCAAACATTGCAGAAGTTGCGGTAAACAAAGTTAGAATTCAATTAGCTGAACCAATAGCAGAAAAAGCTTCAAATGTTGGAACATAGCCAACTAAAAGTTGAAAAACTAATGAAAACAAGGAAACTGAAGAAAAAAACTGACTTGTTTTTTCAAGAGCCTTCAACTTTTGAATTTCAAAAAAGCCCTAAAGCTCTTTGAATTTGTAGAACAATTTACGATGGACACTTTTTTGTTAAAATTAGCCCCACTTGAGAAAACTGGATCAGTACGTAAAACTTTTTTTCGCTGGGAAATCTCATAATTAGTTTCCAGTTTCGAAATCAAAAGTCGATCAGGTTTTTCGTGACCTTTACACTTTTGTTGTTCTATAGTGGAGTTAGCCTTTTAATAATGGACTTAAAAAGAAATCACAAGTGAGAAATTTAAAAAATAATCAAAAAGAAATCACAAAGAAATCAAATTTTAAGACTTTTTCCAGTAAAAAAAAATCAGCAAGACCTTTATAAGAGTACTCACTACTTTCATTACTCTTAAAAACAATGAGAAGCAGTAACTAAGCCGACAAAAAATAAGAGAAAACAAAAATCCTGAAACACTTCATTTTGCAAATTTGCGAGGGCTGTTACACCTGGCTTTCGTGTTCTCAAGCATGCGTATTACCTCTGAGCCAAATGCCAACACAAGCGAGAAAACAACAAAAAGCAGCTTTAAAATATGGAAATAAGTAAACGTCAGCCTTGAATACTCAAGCTTTTGCAAATTGCAAATTGTTAAACACCAGCCATCAACAAATCAACTACAGATGCTAGTAACTGCCGCTACGCAGCAAAAATGCTGCAATATATAAACTTGAGGCAACCATATTTTGCACGTTAAAAAGCTGGAAAAATTTTGCATGCATTAAACTTGAAACTATAAAGCCGAATAGTAAATAAACTATGCATTTCATGACTTTTGCAAACTAAGTCGAGTAGGAAATTTCTGAAATTGAGTTATTATTGTACTGTTGTCTGAAACAAATATCTTTTTTCGGTTTTATCGGTGAATTGTTTCAACTTATCGAATGTCAAGGCACAAGCTATTTAACTGCAAATGCTGCCTGTTTAAATGGTGCCATCAAACAAAATATTTGTGACTTAAGTTTTAAAAAGCCTCGTAGCATCACAGCACAATTACTTTTGCACAGAGGCGGTGCTGCAATTTAAGTAACACAGAGGCGGAGCTGCATTTTGCAAACACAAGCAACACCATCAAAAAATGGCAAATAGGAGCTTTCAAATAGCAAATCATAAAAAAATAATAAACTGGAAAATGGAAAAATATAAACACTGCCCTTTCCAAAATACAATCTCCGCCATCGACTACCTACAGGTTTTGACACTAATGCCTCAGCAGTTCAGCAATATGCGCATGATGTTATCCAAATAACAGTTTCTAATATATTGTCTGGTATTTTTCGAACACCAGACACTAACTAAATTTGGCACTAATTTATGCAACTTGGTTAAAAAAAAACGTGGATTCAAAGTAATAGCACAGGCGTTTGCTTGTGTAATAAATAACAGATACTTTGAAATCACAAATTCTTCATTTCATGAAACTCTCGTGATTTTACAAACATGACTTTGCCTTCACAATGAATTAGGATTGCTAACAATTCAGTCAGTTTTAGGCAAGACTACTGGATAATAAAAAAAGTATACAACCTCGGGACATGTTACCATGTGTACGCACCGTAGTCGTCAAGCGAGAAGTTATACGTGGCCATGAAGTGGTTCCGGTCAATATTTTTGAGGCGATCACGTGACAAGGTACTTTTGGTGAAGCGACAAAACTCAGCTCCATCATTCACATTCAACACCAGCGTCTCCCTTTATGATGACAATCAATTAATTATTTACTTTACGCTAGTTCCTCTCAGATAAGTTTACTATATCGAAAGAAATTCCTTTCTTCAGTGGTTACAAATAAAGTTACAAAACAACTTGGGTTGGCGTTTACGCAGGAAGATTTTCCGAACAAAACATTGAAAATTTGAACAAGGATGTGAAGTAAAAAAAACTTTGTATTCCCTCCCTTTTCTTAGGGCAGCAAAACTTTTCTCAAACGGCAGAAAACTCTTCTTAGGTCTAAACCTTTTAACCAGCTGATATTTCGTTCGTTTCAAGGATTCTTTAAATTCTGAAAAGAGGATTGAAAACTTATTAAGCTAAACCGTATCTTGCTTGAATTTGATCTCACCTTGGACAAGCTAACAAGTCTACCCTGTCCCTGTTCATCAGATTGGGACGGGGGGAAGGGGTCGGTATCTCGTGACTAGAGCTCATTCGTCGCAGCCTCTGTTTAGACTGCTCCTGAATCGACATTCCGAGTTTGGTCGCTGACCGTCGCATGCTGAAAAACATCTTACATATGATTCAATCAAAGCGTATAGATAATTTATACGTAAGTCGATTATCGCGTTTTGCCTATTTAAAATTTGAGGCTAACAAACATTAAGAACTGCTACGGTAACACAAAATTAGGGTCTTAAAATTTTTCAGATGGAGAAAAGAAATGAGATCTGCAATTTTTTTGAAAAACAAACATCTGAATTATGACCATTGAAGCCCACGAACCAGTAGCGAGCCCGAGTGGGGGGACCAACCTTCCCCCTCTCTCTCTCAGTTCTGGTTTCCAAATTTTTCCAAACGGTCCTCCCCCTTTGTATATGTCGTATATGTTGGAAATCTATAAACTCTACCATCATCAAGGTTTGATTCTCGCAACTCGTTTTTAATTTCCTCTTTTCAAATATCAAATTTTTCTCCAATATCAAAATTAATAAACACTAACTTAGGCTGAGTCAGACAATTTGTTTGTTTAGGTGGCGTTCCTCCACCTCTTTGAGTCATCACCCCATTTTCTAGCTCCAGCAACTGCCTCCTACGTGTTAGACTCGACTGAAGAGAGAAGCGTCTACCTTCCAGGTACTTCTGTACGTCCCTGGATACCCTCCTGCCCATATCTGGCATCGAAGCTACAGATAGAATTGAACTCTTCCTCCGCATCTCAAGTGCGCGCTCTAATTTCTCAGGTCTCTCGGGCTCTGGTTCTTCGTGCTGTTCTTTTTTGTCCAGTCGGAGCCTACAGTTACATGGTTACTTGATTTTATTTATGATATTTGTGTTAATTTCAGTTTAGTGACACAAATAATAAGAATAGATGAACGTTGACGCAAAATGAAGGCATTAATCCGATATAATTTAGGCCGAAACCAACCAAACTAAAAAAAAAGGAAAAGAAAGCAAAAAAGCTACAAAAACTGTTGTCTAAGCAATAATGTCTTTTACGATTTTAGCAGTTTGCGCAATACAGAGATGAGTACAAAAACTACGTTTCACGTGAAACAACTGAGCATTAAATCACTTAGCCTATAAAAAACAGGACGAAACAATTAGGGCAGAAAAAAAAGCGAAAAAAAAACAGCAAATCAAAACACTAAAAGCAACAACAAGATAAATTGTTTATAGAACAAAAACAATTCTACCATGTGGCAACTGAGCCGACCAAACATAAGCAGACAAACAATAAGGCGAAAAATTTTATTTAAAAAAGAAAATTTTCCTGATATCTTGACAACTAAACATTTGAGCAGTCACCTTTGGAGCCCATATGTGCAACCCCTGAGAGTATCTCGACAGCACCTGACTAAACGTTTGGCGATTTCGATTTTACCGAAATTACTCGAATCCATGTTTCTGAAAAGCTTTGAACACGTCATTATAAAAACGTCATATCTCGGAAAAATAAAAGATTTAGGCACTCATGTTCGAATGTAAGACATGGAACGCCAGAGAGTACCTCACGTTTTAAAGTTGAGAATTTCAAACTTTGTCAAGCTTTTTATATCAAATTTTTTTGTCAATTTTTGAAAGAGCAAAAAAAACAAATTAATGTCTCAGAAAAGATTTGAGCAGCACCAAACTACAGGATTGAGAATTTCAACGTTTGTCGTGTTTTTATTTCTAAGTTCTTTGAAAATTTATGAAAAAATCACAAAAAAACGTCATTTTTCAGAAACCAAAAGGATTTGAGCAGTCATATTTAAACTCAAGATTTGTAACCCCTGAGATTACCCTGACAGCACCCAACTAGAAGGTTGAGAACTTCAAATTTGAAGAATTTTTCAAACCTAAGTTTTATGAAAAATTGTTGAAAAAATCATAAGAATTGTCGTATCTCGTAAACAAAAAGAATTTGGTATTCTTATTTGGAATCCCAACTCGCAATCCATGTGGAACTCTGACAGCATCCTACTTTTGGGTTGCTGATTTCGAACTCGGTGAAATAAACAGTGAGTGCAATCTAGAAAATCGAAGAAAATTCTTGAGCACTGCAGTATACGATATAGCTTAGACTTGCACAAAACTCTTTCGTTACAATAAAAAAAAACCTTGAAAAAGCTTAAGCAGTGCCGGATAGTGAAACTTGCATTTACATATAAAAAAGATAATAGATAGATTTTCAAATACAAAACAAAAATATGTTCAATTAATTGGCTAAACATAAGCATGCATTACAATTTTTATGGCAAAGGTAATAAAAAGGGAAGACTTGGCTCCTTCAAAAAACTTGTATGTCGAACGAAGCATCATGTTCTAAGAAAATCAATATGTACGCCGAATAATTTTAGGCTAAAAAAATAAAGTATAGTTAAAAAAATCTAAGTTGATCTATTTATACCTGCCCAAAGATCGCACTTCGAGTAGAACGAATTACAAAAAAAGCAGAAATGCTCAAAAAAAAGTGCGGTTATGTTGGACAATTTGCTATCCTGGAAAAAGTTTTTCCGATATGACAACGCTTGCTCATTGCAAGCGTAATAATTTTAAATTGAAGGAAAGACAGGGGAATCATTACCCTTAGTCGAGGACAGGAGCACTAACTTTCGGTGCCATTTTCGAAAAGGCCTATGTTAAGTAGGGGCAGATACAATGACACAATCAGCAGGGCGGATCGTTAATAAATAACGTAAATAAGAGTGTACCAAGAACTCTAGCTTATGGTCCACCTGAACTAACTTCCAAACAAGAGTACGTAGCATAATTGGTCTTAAGTATTTTTTGTGATTTTCCAGTAGATTTTAAAAAAAAATAACGCTGCATGCCACAGAGACAAACTTTTCAACTAAATTTGAAATCCTGTAGACGTTTTTTCCACGCCTGAATAAACTACTCCGTCTGTAATATTTTCCCGTCAAAATTAGAATAGATTTCGCATAAATATAAAATCAATTTTCTCACAGTTATAAGTTTTTGCATACACCCATTATGCTGTTTTAAGGTTAACTCATTAGTACAAATAGCATCTGCAAAAGTTGAGAGCGTAAATAAATTGTTAAAACATCGTTCACCGAATTTTTGGAATAATGAACAACTTTTTCTGGATTTATCTCCTTTTGGCAAGAAATAAATTTCAGCCCTACAGAAGACATACTAAACAAGCATAGCCGGTTGCTGCGCAAGTAGCCTGGAATGTTCTGACCATATTGTTGAAAAACCTACAAAAAAAATCTTTTATTTTCAAGTGTAGGTCGTTTTTTGTGCGTGGTGTGAAAAAAGGATCTATAAATATACAAAAAAAAGGATTTCGTATATTTATAAGCGAAACAATAAATATACGAAATCAAGGTTAGAGTTAGTAAATTTACAAGCAAGGCTGCCAACGGTGGGCGCTTGCGCTAATAGATAGCAAATGCACTGATGAAATTAATAATTTCTATTAGTGAAAGGAAGCCTCAACTTGTAGCGCAAATCCTGAATTATGTAATAAAACCAATCAGTTTCGACAGAAAAAAAAACAGATCACAAGTTCTTTTTAGCTCTTCAAAACCCGAAACTAAAACGCAATCAGCCAAATTTTTTCATATTGGCCAAACAATGTCCAAAATTGTTTGGTTTGAGTAAAGGTCGGAAAACAAGTGAAAAAAAAATGTTTTTCCGAAAAATGCTTTAGTTGACAAAGTCTCTTCATTTTTCCACAAAATAGTTTTTACTTGTTTCTCCAGCTGTTTGCTTAATCTGCTCGAAATTAAATGATTCATCTTAGGTTTAAACTTGAGTGCAAATATTCGAAAAGAAAGTCATATTATACTATCGTATAAGGAAGCAAATGTCACGATGAATGAGCTTTACTTTTGAGTTTCAAGGTGATTAGACTTAGAAATTCTAGAATCTTTTACAAAATAGAAAGGGCAAGTTCATATAATAGAAAAATATTCTCTCATAGATCAAGAAAAGTAAAACAAAAAAGCAAATCAGTCCGTGAAAAGGTTTGTACTAAAGCAATTTTTGATGATTATCTACTGGCGGAACCAAAACGTTCAAATTACCATTTTTCTAGCAAAAAAGCGAGAAGCCGACAGCAGTTCAGCGTAAAACCGTAAAGACACTAAAAAATACTCAACATTTCAGAACGAAATGAGCCTTTACTACATATTATATTTCAACTAGTGGCCCAGCTAAAGCTGGAGGTGCCTCTTCGATATTTTTTGAAATTATGTACTGATGCGAAAGGTAACGCGTGATTTTCGAAATCACTAAAAATGTCAAAAAATTGACAATTCCGGTCTCGATTGCGGATTCCTTGCCAAACGTGAGAGAATACGCCTCTTATGCAGGGGAGATACCTACAACTTGCTCTTTCGATTAAACCCTTATTCTCAGATTTGGCACGTTAGATTTTGAATAAAGTAAAACATTTCCTAACAAGTGAAACAGTTTTCAAAGAAATGAATTTCTGTCTAGGACCAAAACTGCTTTTCTACAAAACTTAAGCTGTAGTTGATTCAGAGAAAAACGCTATTTCGATTGACCCCTCATCTCACTTTTGGCAGGAAAAAATTCTACAAAAAGGCAAAATTAAAAATTGGGACATGTGCTAAAGCCATCAATTTTTTTCTTCAAACACTGGGGCGTAGCAACTTGAGCAGAGAAGATTTGCACATCAAATTTTTTCAATCAAACCCTCGATCTTGCCTCAATCTCATTTTCAGCAATAACTTTCGGGAAAAACGAGAACCTTCGCAAAAATTTGCAAAAAAAAAAACATTTTTAAGATCATAAATTTTTTCGGGAAAACTATGGGCGTAGCGGCTTAGAACCCCACTGAAAATTTCGAAGGCCGTAGAACGTGGAATAAGGTAAGCAGAGACTAGCAGTGAGCATAATAGACTGGCACCCAGGGAATCTGGGCTTTCCATAGGTACTTATGTTTTGAAAATCAGAGCAGTTTTCGAAAAATCTGCCTCACAAATATGGTATAAAAAACAAAAACCATAAATTTTCAAAATACTTGTTTTAACAAACAAGCTCTCGAAAAAAAATATTACATTTTGCAGCTCCTTGAGCTTCCAATTTTTTAATGAATTATCTTTTTTTGATACAAACTACAGAATATATGTTGACGGAGAGCAAGGGCGTGTTCTACGACCTCCATGTATTAAGATAGGTTATACTTTCGGGTTGTACGGCTGTGTATTAAGATAAGGAACAGGTGTCTCTATGTATTGAGCTAGGGTATAGGTTTCGCCATGTATTAAGATACAAGGATTGAGATGAGAACTTTCAGATAGCATGTGTCACTTGGAAAATTTTCGGCATCCAAATTTCCTAATACATGCATTTCTAGTAATTTGAGGTATGATATAACTGGTTTTAGCGATCCTACAAAGAAGCTTAGTTTCCGATAAAAGGTTGTCGTTAAAAAAATTTACAAACTTAATTTTACTCAGACAAATGTCACATTTGCGATGCTAGATGTATCTTTCACTGCGGTGAGCGGGGATACCGATTATCGAACAAAAACTTTCATTTAAATCTTTAAAAACCTTGAAATGTCACTTTTGTTCATTTGCGGTAGTTTTTGTTTTCTTAAGCTTGAGAATTGTTTAGTGTGACAGATTTTGCGAACTTGACAACAACATAAAAACACATCTCATCTACCCTCTTTCTCAATCAATCATTTAGCACGACCGCTCTCTTGAAGTTAACTCTCGCAAAGATTTAAAAATCTTTTTTACTGTATCTTGAAAAAATGTTGAGTAAAAAATTCGTTTTCCCCAAAGTAAAATTTCAGCAACATAGGCCTTGAATAAAAAAAATGGAAAAACTTACTACATGGCGGTCGTAGAGCTCTCCACCAACACATACTACTAACTACTCCAAATTGAGAAGACTGAATCAAATCAAAAAATTATATTCCACTGGTAGTTCTGATAATTAAAATTCGATTTAGGTTTTTAGTGCCATTTGCACTTCAATCACAGGGGAGCATGACCTATCTTCGTTTAGGAAACCGAAATTTAATTGAATTTGGAAAGTAGAAAAATGGAAAGTCAAAAGGCAAAAAATTTGAGCGTGAACATTTTCTAGACTTTTCGTTTTGAAAAACACCGAAAGTAATCAACTCGACCTTTGTGCCTGCACTACGCTCACTGACGCTTAAAAATACTTTTAACTCCAAAATGATGAAAACACTCGTATAAAATAACGGCTGTCCAGAAAACGAACTTCGACCCTAAACTATTAAACCTCAGACAGTGATGCTTTTACTATCGACCACGACAAAACTAATTTGTTCGAAATGAGTACCGTATGTATCTCGGTGGATTTCAACTTCGGAACAAAAATCCCGCTGTTTCTAACCTGCTTGGCATCTGGGTGGCATCGTAAATCTGTTCACTCAAAGAGTGTATTTTGTGGGCTCTGCTCTGCAACACGTAATTCTTCTTCGCCTCTCTCACCCTCCTTGTCAGCTGCTGTTCTGTTTCAACTTTTCCTCCCACTACGCCATCATCGCCCACTTCCCACGTGCCTATCCATTTCACCTGTCCACATAAATAGGACTGCATTGTCCGGACAAGCAATTGGCTACTTAGTAGTAATGGATTATAAATAACCACCCAACTTAATTTTTCAAAACTTGTTCGTTCACAACGGTATTGTACAACAGTTTACCGAATAGCTTACGCTCATACTCCGAACAACAAATATGGAATAGATTTTATTTAATCTTTTTGAACTTTTTTCGAAAGTTGAAAGTGGCTTTGACTTATTTGTTTTGGTTCTGAGTGTGTAATACGCGTCTGAATGACTTCTAAATTAACTTCTTCAAGCGAGTTTTCAAAGGTCGTTCACATTTACCTCGATAGCACTTGAAGAGCAATTTTAAGACAAGTTCTTATTTGTCTGTTCATAAGCAAAAAAAAACGGTGTTATCTTTGGCATTTTCAGTTTCGCGTGTGACTATCCTACTAACTTTTAGGATTCGGAAATTTACAAGTACATACATTTCTATAATTTAAGGACAAAAAGCCTATTTTGGTTGTCAAAACTACAATTCTCTTTCTTGTTTGAGTTGAACTTGGGTTACTTGAGACTGAAAATTTATTGTAGATGCTTAGCCTGGTAGCATGAGAATTTTAGTATAAAAATGCTACATGACATTGAAAAATTTTGTATATATTAAAAAAAAACATTCAAAACATTTGAAACGTGTTTACAGTATAACAAAAAAAATTGTTAAGTTGAAAAAATACATTCAAATGAATTTTGATACTAAGTTTTCAAAAAACTGACACACATTTTTCAGAGGTCGAATACTTGAACCGAAGTATCGAAAGCATGCGTCAGAAAAGGGCTATCTGATTTTTTGCAAATTTGAAAATTTTTGAACAAATTATCGGTTTCAATTCAAATTGGTCGATCAGCAGATTCAAGAAACAATCCTAACTTTTTCTTCAACAAAAACAATATTAAACACAAAAGCGAAACGAAGCTTCGCAACACTTGCGATACAAACACTCACATAAGTCGACAAAAAAAATTTTGCCATGTCAAAAATTGATTTTCCCATGTCTGATTGGAAGTGAACTGTACGCAAACATGCCAGTTATTAGATTATTGAATTAGCAACTGAACAAAACTTCTCAGAGGAAACAAAGCCGACGAACTTTGAGCAGACACAAATTGAGCCGGAAAATATAATCAATTTTTACCGGAGTTTTTTTTAAATCAAAGGTTCAAGCCCCCTAAAACTACAATGACTTACCATTGCGCTTAAAGCGGGAGTAAGCCAACAATCTTGAAGGGATAAAAAAATGAAGAAAAACTCAAAAGAGAAAACGTTTAGAAGAGAAAAAAATTATAGATGTGCGAAAATTTGTTTACGGGAAAAAAGTTTAGTTACAGACTACAAGACACTTAGATGTAAGCAAATGTAAAGATACTTCAAGTATTCATTGTTCTGACTAGCACCCCTAAAGAGTGGGAAGGAACTACGGCGTTGGTTATATTTTTCCGCCCAATTTCAGGTACCTCAGAGAAAACTTCTCGAGTTAAGAGAGGTATCAAAGTACAGCCCATTCAGGATGTTCAGTGCTGACTAAGTTAGCGAAAACTGATGGAGGCTGACCTCTTTGCTGTTTTATAACAACTACTTTAACGTCTCTTTAGCAATTATAATCTCTCATTTTTCATCAATTTCGAACGAGAGCTTCGAACCACTTGCAACACAAAAAATAGCTTGGTAAACTAGCTGACAGAAAATGAGACGAAAGCCGCTGCCAAGTCGAAATTATTTTTTAAATTACCCAGTTTTTTATAGGTTTGTGTAAGTTGCATATGTTCATTTTGAGGAAACGTGCCAATTAAGTAAGCTTCCAGCACTGAATTGAGTTAGATTCAAAACAAAACTTACACAGCCATAAAAACTCTGATATCAAACATTTTAAAGCACAAATATCTGATTCTCCTAAACACACGCACACACACACAAAAAAAATTTCCAGTAACAAAGGACTCAATATGAGAAAAAAAAATCGATAAATTATACGCTGAAGCTTTTTACACAATGAAACGAAAAAATGAAAGAGCAAATTGGAGTAATTAAATTCCTAACCAAGATTAAAAAAATCCGAAGATACAGTCTAGACAAATATGTGCTGCAACATGTGTCTCTTGTTAATGAAATTACCCAATTGCCCAAATGATTAAAATAATTTTGCTGTTAATGTAAAGAAAGCTGTTATTCCAACAATTGAAAACCAAACTCCGACAACTGTATTCGGGTGTTTTCATTTTTTTTGCCTTTTCCGCACAAAATCAGGTACCACATATAACCATCAGAATGGGTCGAGTGATATATCATTATCAATCCCTTTCAGTACGAACGACATTTAAAAGTTTTTCGAAGGTATCCCAGTGTCGAGAAAAACCGGGTTGGAAACTTCTTAGTATAACGCTAATTTGGAAGGTCTAAGCTCTCAATTAACCTTCGCTTTAAGAAATTGGGCTTTTAGGCTTAAAACACCTTGATTTTACTAAACAAAAACTAATTTTGATGACTTAATTTAGCACTTTCTTGTAACAAAAAATTACAATCTGCAAAAAAAAACACTCAGGCCCAATTTTAAAAACTTTTTACGCGTTTGTATAATTCTCTCATCACACGAAGTATAAGAAACTACTCTAATTCGAAGACTTTTTGTAGTTTTTACACAGGCGAAGCAGACGACTGAGCAAAAAAAGTTTACCTAGAAAACATTTTGAGCAATAAAATTTGATCCCTCAAACGACAAATTATGAGGCATCTAAGCAGATCTGACATCAACCGAAACCATTTAAGCCAAAAAAAATCCTTGGAGTGAAGAAAAAAAAACAAAAAATAAAAAGCGAAAAATGAAATTAAAAACAAGAGTTGATTTACGAATAACAATGATAATTCGAAAGAGCGGCAAATTAATGCAGAAACGCCCAAGAAAGTTAAGTTGCCACACATTCTGTTCTGCTGCCATCGTGACACCAACTGATTTTGTAAAATTAGTATTTAGCCCGAAAAAAGTATGTTCCAATTTGATAACGCTTAATAATTGAAGGCGCAATGATTGTATTCGGAACATTCTGTGCTGCTTGCTCCGAATACAAACTTATTAAATAGTGTCTTTCTAGAAAACTGATTGATACGGGATAGCCGTGGTGATCCCTATAGTATTAATGCGATTCCATATCTTCAAGGATAGCCCTATTCGAAGCATATTGATTGCAGACAAACAAGCCAGACGTTTAGAATTTAGCAACATCAACATCCTCTCGTTACCCGGAGCTCAAATTCACGATCTGTACAGGTTCGTACCAGGAAAGGTCAATACGACAAAATTGTAATATTCGCGGGCGGAAACGATCTGTATAACGGCTACCTACCATCTACGGCAAGCGTAGATGAAGTAACTGATCGTATAGTCAGCCTAGCAAACCATCTGCTCCACGTCTGCGAACGTATCTTTGTACTTGGCATTCCAGCTCGATATCCCCCTGAAGTCGAACGCGAATCGATTCAGGACCACGATCTCATCCGACACTTCGCAGTAAATCGAAAGTTAGAAAAACAAGCAGTTGGCGCTCGTTAGGTTTTCCGAGGCCTATCTGAACAGATTTACTGTGAGAACCACGTCACCGAGCGAGATCACGTCCACCTCAACGAGTCAGCTTTGAGTGGACTAAGAAGCATCTTGAAGAAACGGGTCTTATACGAAGACTATTCTGTAAGTGCCAGCGAGCGACGACCCAACACTTACGAGTGCAATCGAGCGACCGGTTGTCTGTGCGGATCCTACACGGGATAAGGTTAGAGCCTTCGTTTCGACTTTAACAGATAGGTCTCCTTTTCTGGATTCACTGTTAAAGTCAAACCCATCCCTTCCTTTTTCCGCTCCGCTGTTTGTAAGGCTTGGCAAATAGGTCTCCCTCTCGGGATTCATTGCAAACAAGTCTTAAGCAAGCAATCATTACCTAGTAGAACCATATCGATATAATGGGTGAGACCAGGAGGCGCCTTGGTTCGGTAGATGCGAACTACTATCCCTCACTTGATCAAATCCTGTCTGCTCACGATGATGATCTAAAAAAGTTCCTAAGCAAAACGAAAAAAAAACAACATTGTTTGTCTATTCAAAGAATTATTACTTAAGTTCAACGAAAAAGAGAGCATTCAGAACGACCTTAATGCTATCAAAACTTCAATAAAAAAGTGCACGATGACGTTAAAGGATCAGCAATGGCAGAAACGCGATCAGCAGGGGAACCTCCAAGGGTAGCTACATCTCAGCACTGTTGAAACAGAAAAGCTCCGAAGATGATAAAACATGTGAGGTGAGGATCTCCGGTATACCGGAGTTCAAATCTGTCAGCTCTGAAAAGAAGCCCAGACAGCTAGACATAAAACAACACGAAGAAAAGCCATGATTTCAATCATGGAACACCTCGAAATACAAAAAGCAATAACATCAGCAACAGGTATGGGAAAATTCAGACCTGAGTCGATAAGACCAAGAACATTTTTAGTCAAGTTTCGCGACAAAATGACTGCATACAAGGTTCTTGCGAGTGCCTTCAGACTGAGGCAATACGATGGTACCGCATACGAAAAATTCAAAGTGTACATCAGCAAATCGTTGAATAAGACCGAGCAAGAACAAGAACACAAAATCTTGAATAAAAGAAGAAGTCTGATCGAAGAAAACACAGACCCTAGCCGATTAAAAATTCGTAATTTAGAACTCTTCCTAGATAGTGCAGTAGAAGATTTAAGTGAACGTTGACTTTCTTTGACTTACGAAACTGACCAATTTACTGATTATTCGATTTTACTTTTAATACCCGAAGCTTAGTGAAATCAAGTAGGCGCACATCTCTATCAAACTTTGTCTTCACCAACAACTTTGACATCATCTGTTTAAGCGAAACATGGCTCAAAACTAACATCAGCGACTCAGAACTATTCCTCCCTGGCTTCAATATCTTTCGTTCTGACAAACACCAAACAAAAAGAAAAAACAGCCCACGGTGGGGTCCTTATTGAAACAAGTCTGCACTAAAATGCTATGAAATCTCTCTTCCTGACCAAATTCAAGGTTATTGCACCGCTATAATCTGGGAATCTTCCGAAGCCACATTACTAATTACCACATGCTATTTCCCCCCTCCTAACAGCAAATAGTATTTGGAGACCTTCCGTATTTGTCAGCTAGTGGACTTCTTGTCGAACTGCAATGCAAATCATCGTATAATAAACGAAGACTTTAATCTTTTTTCAATTGACTGGCCCATTCAAACCTCAGAGCCGCTCCATCAATGTATACTTGACAAAATAGATAAATTAAGCTTAACTCAAACTATTCATTTCAAAACAACAAACGCTAATATACTTGACTTAGTCCTTGTTAGCAATCAGGTTGAAATAATCGACACCCTACCACTCGACGTATTTACTGCACCAAAATCTGCTCACAAACCTATTAACTCAATAATCCGCATGAAGGAACTCAAGAAAAGCTCCACATTTAGGAAAACCAGTTTCTATAGCTATTGCAAAGCTGACTTCAACGGTTTAAACGATGCGTTTTCAATCAACACCTTCTCACCTTACTGCTGGTCAAATGTTACAAAAATAGTCGAACTATGGTACGAACGGATTCATAGCTTTCTGCCAAAATTCATCCCGCGTAGAACTCAACATAGACAATCTTCCTCCCTGGATAACTCCTGAGACGTCAAATTCAATGAAACGTCTGTCAACATTACGCAAACAAAAAGGTTCGCAATGTGCCTCGGTGATTGCAATAAATAAAAAGGTACAAACCGCCGTAGAGAATAACAGAAGCGAATACGAACAACATTTGTCTAACTCGCGTGATACTAAAGCCCTGTTAAAATACTATAGAAATTCCGTAACTCAGAATTACCTTCCGTCATGAAACTTGATAATTCAGTTGCGAAAACCTTGCCAGAGCAAGCTTATCTATTCGCCAAATTTTTTAACTCAGCATTTATAATCTCTTCTCAACCATCCTGTCTTGAAAAACAAGAGCACTCAGTTAAACAAATAATTCATAATATAGAACCAGACAGGAACCTGATTGCCAAACTGTGTAATGATCTAGATCTAAGTAAGTCGAGAGGTCCCGATCTACTACCTCCTGTTTTATTTAAGCGTTGTAGTAGTGAATCTTTAACGCCCTCTCTCTACCATATCATATATAAAGCACTCCAGACCTGTTGTTTCCCTGATCAATGGAAACACTCTATTGTCAGCCCAGTTTTCAAAAAAGAAAGGAAGCAAGGCCTGGATAAGTAACTACAGGCCAATATCACTACTTAATATTGCCAGCAAAATCTTCGAAAAAGTTCTTTTCATCGATCTATATAAACATCTAAAACCTATGTTGCACAACAATCAATTCGGATTTCAAGCGAAAATGTCAGGGACCATCCAAATGCTGCTCTATCTGGATACCATATATTCAGCTAAAAGCGAAAATGAAGAAGTAGACGTAATGTATACCGATTTTGAGAAAGCTTTTGACAAAGTAGATCACGGTATTCTGATTGATAAGCTCAACTCGTTGGGAATCAGAGGCAAAATATTAAAGCTAATTTATAACTACCTGACAAATAGAACACAATGTGTCAAAATCAAAGACTGTCTGTCCCAATCATTCTATGTCACAAGCGGTATTCCTCAAGGATCAATCCTCGGGCCATTGTTTTTTCTTGTCATAATAAACGACCTACCAAGTGTATGTAATCATTCCACCAGCTTTCTATACGCAGACGACGCAAAGTTCATACGAATTGGTATACTTAACGCAGAATTTCAGAATGACCTAAATAACATCTTCACGTGGACTCAACAAAACCAGATTGCGCTCAATGCGTCGAAATGCACTCACCTACCGGTTAAACGTCCCACAAGTAGCGACTTTTACTTCGCCTCAATTTTAATTAAGAAAGTCTCAGAAGAAAAAGACCTAGGAATAATTGTAAAATCGGATCTTGGCTGGACATCGCATATTAAACTTAGAAGAGGAAAAGCCCTCAACACTCTATGCATGCTTAAGCGCAACCCACTGCCTCTTAACACCAAGACCAAACTTAATCTGTTCAAATCCATGGTAATTCCAGTTTTGCTATACGGTTCAGCGTGCTATCAATTGAACGTCGAAGAAATGAAACTCTTAGAAGGTGTTTAACGCAATGCATGCAAATGGATTGCAACAGATCCTAATTACAAAACGTCGCTTCAGCGTCTAGGAATACTGCCTTTACACACGTACATTCAGCTCAATAATTTAGTTCTACTATCGAAAATCCTCAATAATCACTACGACTACAATTTTTCTGACCGTTTTCCGCCAAAAAATGACCTAGCTAATACAAGATCTCGTTTATTTGAAAGTACACGCCCTGCAAAATTTGTTTGTGAAAAAAAATTTTGGTTTCATGCAAAGAGGCTGGCTAATTTGGTTCCTCAAAAAGTGGACTTTACCAACACGATAGGACTCAAAAGACGGTTGCTGCAATGGATGTGGGAGCATTTCGAGAAAAGATTCGATGACTCCAACCCCTGTAGCTGGAAAATTCTGTGCGACTGTACCCGAAACAACTGCAGAAATATGTCTAACTAACTGAACTGAAACTGTGGGAAAACCCCTTGCGTACGCTAAATTCATATTTTTATTATTATTACTAGCAATTAACGCAACTTCGATGCTTCAAAATTTTTGGACAACTCATGAAAAACCGCATATATTGGAAACAACATCTGCAAACTTTTAGTGTACTCTGACTGCACCCATTTACAGGGTTGGTAATTTCGAACTTTTGAATTTTTTTTAAATTCCCATTTCAAAAGCGTCATCTCGAAAACTTAAAGGGCCTTTGGAGAAATTTGGAAGCCAGATTTGCAACCACTGAAGGGTTAGGAATACAAAATTTTGTGAATTTTTTTAAACCTAAGTTTCCCGATACAAAAAAATTAAAAAACGTCTTATCTCGGAAACGTCTTATCTCGGAACAGGATTTGAGCATTCAATTAAAGAGGCAAGATTTGAGACGCCTGGGTGTACGCTGACAATAAGATTGTATCTTCATCAAGTTAGTAGTTTCAATTTTTTTTGAATTTCTTTGTAGAGAAGTTCCTAGAGAAAATTTGAAAAAATCGAAAAACTTCACATCTCGGAAATTAAAAGCATTTGAGCAGTCGCGTTTAGCAGTCGCATGTGGCAAGATTTGCAACTCTATAGAGTACCCTGACAACACCGAACTATAGAGTTGGGAAATTCAAATTTTGAAAAATAATTAATTTAAACTTTCTGAAAATTTTTGAAAAATTCACAAAAAACGTCATATCTCGAAAACTACAAGGATTTGAACAGTCATATTTGGAGACAAGATTTGTAACTCCTTAGAGTACTCCGATAGCACCCAACTACAGGGTTGGGAACTTCAAGTTTTGTAAACCGTTTTGTTATTTGAAATTTCTGAAAATTTTTGAAAAAGTCTTAAAAATCGTCTTATCTCGTTAACTAAAAATGATTCGGGCATTCAAAATTGGAGGCCAAATTTGCAACCCCTAATTTGATATTGGGCTGCTTAATTTAAACTCGGTAAAATAACCACTGAAATCAAATTGGAAAATGGAAAAAATTCTTAACCATTGCAATATACGATATAGATTAAACATGCAGAAATAATACGTTGAAAATGCTTAAACATGACGAGATAGTGAAGCCCTCTTTAAATATATAATAGATAGATTATTATTGCAATCGGATATCGTTGTTCGAATTTGATTACGCTTGCTAACCAGCCCTGTTGTTAATGTGCAAAACCTGCTACCATGAACTCAGGCCTTCAAATTGCATGAAAACATTCTAGAACAGAATCCTAAAAGGCTAGTAAAACGGCGCCCAAGAAAGCACAAAGCATAAAAATGATTTTCTCTCGTGCCTGGAGGCCTTTTCGAGTAGTCTATGGATCACAATTCAATTGCATTGGGTTTTGAGCATCAGGATGGTTGGTTAAAGAAGCAGAAAAGGGTTAGAGTCTCAAATATCGGCTCTTAGAAGTCTCTTATCTCAAATGAGTGACAAACTATTAGTTGCATGGCAAAAGATGCCACGTGATCCGACCACTAAATCACAATTAAAAAGGCAAAGAAGCTAAAATTATACTAAATTAGATCTAACTGAAAAAAGAGCATAATATGTTGTGATAAATACAATGTTCGCAGAATCTCATATAAATTTCTTTTCTTTGATTAACAAGCTTAAGCCTCAATCGTCAAAAATCTTTTCTTGGATTTTGTTCGCAGTATTGTAACAAAACTCGATTGAGATCTTAGGTTGAAGATAATTCAGCATAAGAGTTCCAAGGATGATGCATATAACACAAGGCTATGATCAAGGATTTCGGGTACTAGTTTACTTGTTTGGTCCCTCAAAAAGGCTGTGATCCCTAATAAAAACCGAGGTACAGTATGTGGCTAATTCTAAGTGAGCATTTTTATTTCTCTGTATTGCTGCCGAAACGTGCCAAGTTAGTCTAGCGGTTACGAATCGGATAACCAGCCCTAAGGAGTAGGTTCAAATCCCGTGCTGGCTCTTCTTTTTAGAAAATAGGAGAGACCAATCATCTAAACTAGTTTTGTCACGAGCCCAAACAAGTAAACTAGAACCGGATTTCGGGCAAATTGTTCGTGGACAAATCATGTTTTTTGAGTTCGCCATTACTACTAGTTTTTCTCAATGATAATAACGCTGTCTAATGGCCCCAGAAGAAATAAAAAAAGTACCCAAGAAACTCAAAATTATTCTTCTTTCTGCAGTCAGTGATCAAAACAATTATGATCAATTTTATGAAACCATTAACTACATTAACACTTAGGAAACCATAATTGCAAATGACTCTTCTACTTGGGAATTTAAAAAAGTGCCCTTAAAACATATAAGCACAGGTCAAGTGAAGCACTGCTGTTGGGTTAGATAGAGGGGAGTCAATAATAGTTTTTGCTAGAAGTAATCGGTGCTTCCTTTCGAGGTGCTCGGTACTTGCGAAGAGGGAGGGAAAGCACTACTGGTTGAGGGGGTCAACGAGGCCGGAAATCTTGCTTCTGGTTTAGTGGTGGGTGTTCCTGAAATTGACTCTTCCTCGTTACCGGAATCTCCCATGTCCATTCCGGCTGGATTCGAGCCCTCAGAATGGTCGCTGTAGGCTCCAGATCCTGAATAACCACTGTAGTTATCATCGTCATCATCGTAATCATCGCTTAAACCTCCGTCGAAGTCGAAATCTAACTCCTCTTCTTTTACAATTGTGCTTCGCTCTTCCTGCAAGTACTCTTCAACAGTCGATGGAATTTTCACATTGTCTAGTTCTGCGTCTCTCTTTGTGCTTTCGACCTGCTTGCGAATAATTTTGACGTATCTATCGTCCTCTTTATTTGCCCATTTCCGGTACATTACCGATGCATCTACATTTGCAGGTGAAAATGTGTTGGGACATGAAAACAGAGATATAACGCTGAGAACTATTGTTCTGGCTTCTTGGGTGGGTCTCCATCTTTCTTCTGCCTTTTCTCCACTTTGTTGGTCTGGCACTGGTGAGTGTAAAATCGATATACATACTTCTCCAGAATCGTGGTAAATATTGGGATGCCACATCTTTGTCAGAAATTTAAACTTAGGCGGCGAAAAAGGATAGTCAGGGGGGAACTCCATCACACCTTTGAAATAGCCTCCCTCGTATAACGTTTCAGGGGGTCCAAAGATTCGCACATGCCATTTGAAGATGTTGCTTTCGTCAACATCAACAACAAAACCAGCTGTTTTTTGTTTTCGCAAGTCTGCTATTTCTTGCTGAAGTCGTTTTGCCGCCGCTCCAACAGCTTTTGCCATTTTTTTCTTAAATTTTTAACTCAAGTGATAATAAAAAAAATATGGCTCAACAAAATCCAGAACAAACAATTTACACCTTATTCTCAAACAACTGTTTGCACCTCATAATGGCACACTTCCGACACAACCCAAACATGGCATGACGGTGAATTCCCATAGGTTCCAATATTCATAGCTTCCAAAATAAAAAATCAGTCGCATAACTTCCAAAATTTATCTTCTTGAATTCTGATTGGTTGAAATTTGAGCCAACAAATTTATGGATTGATTGTTTACTGTTCAACCAGCATAAACTCAAGCTGCAGAATAGTGACCGCCGCAGCCGCGCCAACGTGTTGCGAGCTTGCCACCAAAGGGTAGGACTCTATACGAAATTTAGAGCCGGTTATCGCCGCAAAGCGGCGACGCGCGCGTAGCGCGCCCACCGGCGACCTTAAACCGAGACTCGGCTAATTTAGTCTTTTGACCAATTGAAAAGATTTGGAACTTATGCGACTGCTTTTTCATTTTGGAACCTATGAATACGCACCGGCATGACAAACTAGCAAAAATATCTTTTGATGAAAAAAAACTGACACATCGAGCGAAACTACCAAATTTTTCATAACTTTCTCTCAATTTTTCTTCAATAACAAATAATTATGGGAACTTAAAACTGTCAATTCATCAGTGCATCGACAAAATATTTTATAAAAAATGATCAACATTCATGCAAAAATGTCAAACTTAATTTAAGTATCATATTTACGAAAGATCTATACGCATCAAAAAACCGAGATTTTCTGTTACTGTGAACGCTGCTGCCGCGCAAAAAAAGAAGGAGGAGGATACTCCACAAGTAAAATTGTTCCTCAGGTATGTGGATGACATTGTTAGTCATTGTTAAACAACAGTCAAAGGTGAGCCAAAGAGCGCAGATGTTAGTTGAGGAATCATAGATAGCTCGAATAACGAAACAAAAACAATAAAGTTTTGCAAGCAGCTTAGGAAATTTAACCAACGTTCCAGTGCTTTTAACCACAAGATAATTAGAATTTAGAATTTATAAATCTTCCGGTACCATCGCTCACATCAGCATTTTCTAATGACCTCAAGTCAAGAGTGGTTTATGAACTTTCATGTTGTGGATGCATTTCCATCTATGTCGGACAAACTGTTCGACCTTTGACCACCAGAATAGAGGAAAATAAGAAAACAGACTCACCGGTATGCTTCGGCCTCAGCAATGCAGTCTTCTGGTTTTTCTGGCTTTTCATTTAAAACGTACATGTCTAAATCGAAATTATGACTCGAAAGTTTTCAGACAAATTAATTGAAAGTTTTAATTTAATTTTAGAGGTTAAAAGTAATTTGATCTACATAATAGTTTTGGAAGTCGACTGTGATTGGCGAATATTTTCATATGATGGTTCAGAGCCAAAAAGTATGTGAATTTTATTGAATGACATTTACAAATTGCTGTTTCATCTTCATTTAAATTAGTTTATTGTAAGAATCTTGACAATTCACAATGTTGCGAAAAAAGCCTTGGAATTCACATTTTATCAAAAATCTGCTCATTTTACGAAGTTCACCAATGAAACTGAAACAACGGTTTTGACGTGATGAATTACATCAACATTTTTAACCGTTCCTTAAAGTTTTGATTAGTTTTCATTTATTTGGTTCAAATCTCCGTTTTTCTCGTACATGACAATTTCATTCTATTTAGTTATGATTACAAATTACTATGGAGCTGTGACATTCGATCAGAATGGACTGAAATGCGTGTCAGAAACGAATTTTTATCTCGAGCTGTCTCGTGAGAGAATTGGTTGTTTTAGAAGATTAGTGGTGTTAATCGTACAATTTAATGAATTCGAAGAAGTTAATTGGGAGTGGCGAAATGATTTTTAAAAATCAATTGAAAATAAAGACACGACACGACCTTGAATTCTCTCGACAGTTGAAAAACCGCGAAAATCAGAAGACCATTTTTTGATAGTCAGAACTCTGAACCAAGCAGATAAAAAACGAGTGTGGAGACCCGAAAGCATTCCGGAAAGTAACGATTTTGCAGACAAAATCGTTACTGTGCTGACTTTTTTAATCTGGAAGGGCAAGTGCCGAGATTGCAGACATAACTTTTGATGAAAAAAACTAGCAGTTATATCTTTTGATGTAAAAAAAACTTTGACATCGAGCGAAACTAGAACTACCAAAATTTTCATATCTTTCTCTCAATTTTTCTTGAATGAAAAATAGTTATGAGAACTTAAAACTGTCAACTCAAAAACTTTCGCACATTTTGTGCATCGTCAAAAAAATTCAACACCTTTTTTAATTCTCATCTAAAACCTGCAGAGCAGAAAATTTTCAGTAATTGTAACACATTATACTTATATGACAATTTAACCGATATAGTCGCACTTTTTGTACTTCGTTGCGTATTCGGTTTAGGTGAAATATAACCCTGACCTCTATGATTCAAAATGCATTTATTGCACACCACTTGAGAACACTGAACGCAGAAGAGATCATTCATCAACTTGTGTGATGCACATATTGACATTTCGTACCCTCTTTGATCCACATTTTCGTGTCCACGCCTAACATGAGGACATATACACGAATTACAAAGGAAGTCGTTTTGCTCCTGTAAGCTGTTGCAGGTTTTACAATTCAGAAGTCCTGGAATTGAGGTAAGAATGAGTTCGAGAATGGAGTCATTAGTGACAATGGGGTGGTTCAGATGTCTGGGACAGTCGCTTCGTTGGAACGCTCTATGGACTTTCTCACAATGGCTGCATTGCCAATCTGGACGGTTAACGACATGCGCTGTCTGAGGAAAGTCCCGGCTCATTTGTCATCGGTTTCAGGTCAGGCTCTCGTATTTCATTCGCTTTGCCTATTCTACTTTGTCTGCCATTGTCGGACCTGGGAAGGTTCCTCGGGCAACATTAGACATGGCAAGGCTGTTGAAGCACGTGAAGTCCCAGATCAGGCAGAGGGCGTTTTTCCACGGAGAGAGAGTAAAACCGTCTGGTCTCTTTCGGTCATCAAGTGAGAGGCCGACTGGTTCTAGAGAAGACTGAATCTCGGACAAACAGAAAGCACGTTTGATGGCTTCACTCCCAAGTCCGTGTCTCCTGTGGTGACTGCAGCTTTTAGCACAAGGCAGAACATGAATGCCTTTAACGTCAGCTTGGGCCCCGAATTCACATGTGTACGGTGATGAAATATTGTCGCCAAGGCGTAACGAAGAAGCAATACGGAACTGTTCGGGTGTTAGTTTTAGTTTCAAAGTGGATGATGGCAGATTGTTGATCCAGTCACCGGATCCTCGGCTTATTGTCTTGTTCAGTGGAGACGTTTTCGAGCTCCCTGAGACCATTTTCAGCGATAGGTTGATACCACTTTTTCTGTTTCTTCTAATCGCAGATGTCCGGTGCAGTTTCATCTCCTCCCACAAGTAGCCACCATTTGTCAGCTGCTTCTCGTAAATCAGTTTCGGGCAATCTTGTTTTGATTATTGACTCGACAAGAGCTCGGGACTTACTAACAGAGGATAGAAAAGCAAGGGTTGACAGTTCTGTAACATTGTGCATGCCCATTCCTGCGCATTTAACGGGCAGAGTGAGTTGTTGCCACGTTTGTTCGTCTAAATGGACGTTCAGTACTGTTTGTAGCGTGGATCGGATTGCTTCATCAAAAAGAGTCAGGATATCTGACCTTCTAAACGTTGGCGCGGTGCGAAGAGTATAGAGCAGTTTCGGAACAAACAGACAGTTTTTGATGAAGTAAAATGCTTCGTGGGCGTCTACATGTTCCATTCCTTTGCATAGAGTCCTAAGAGATATCAGTTTCTCGTTCAACACGCGGTCCAGCGCGTCTTGGCCAATCGGTGCTCCCAGCATCTCTAGATCGCATACTTTCGTGACGGTAATGCTTGGTAACAGATCGTTGAACTCGCGGATGATGTCATCACTGAGGCTGGTGTTGGGTCCCAAAATGGTCAGCTTGCTTTTGTTGGCGTTTAGTGAGAGTCCTAGGGACGTTGCGAACACGATAAACGCCCGCAGTTTGGCCAGAACAAGTCTCCAGTTGTCTCCCATTGCTATGTCGTCCAGGTACCCTTGTTTGAACCGGGTTTTTATCGCGTCTTAGCCGGGGTGGATGGTCGAGTTGTATCGAAAACATGCTGAGGGGTCTCCTTGTTGCCATCCTTCAGACGATGGCAGGGAAAAATTGCCGAACAATAAGATGCTGCCTTCCGAGTAGCACAATTTGAAGAAAGGAAGAAGTTCAGGTGTTTCTCGGTTAATGGATTCTGCAGTTTTGTCCCTTCTGATAGCGTTGAAGGCGTTGGAAAAGTCCAGTTTCACTAACACTTCTTGTTCGGTAGCCGTGTAGCAGAACGCTCGAGTTGCATGAGCTGCTGCCTCAGCTCCAGACGGGTTGCAGCAGTCTAGTTGGAGGTTCCCGAAAAGAGACTTTGCTTCTGCCGTTATTGCTTCGCATCCGGTTTTCACAGCAAGTCTCCTAAAAGTGTCTCCTACAGCGGACAATCGTCTTCTGGGTAAATTAGTTGATCTAGTGGTCTGGGAGGGTGTTTTTCTCTCAGCTTGCTCAGGATCTCTTCAGATGGTTCGAGGACGCCGTTGTCGGAACTGGCAAATCGGACAGCACCTTTCACATCACCTTTGTCGAGTTTCTCGCTCACTCGTTTCATTAATTATTCGACGTCTGTTTGTTGGTTGGAATTTTGCTTAGACATCGTGCGGGGTTTCACATCGACAAGGTCTCGGTTTTGCATGAATATAGTGATTCGGTTGTTCACTTGGGTAGCAAGGGACTGTTTTTGGCTTTTTCCCGCTCTCAACGGAGCTTGCAGACATAGAGTTGGGAAAACGAAAAGACGGAGTCAAGCGATGTTCGAGTCTGGAGAGTTCAGGCTTGCGTTGAGCGTGTCTTTCAGTGCCGCTGCAACCGCTATCCTGGAAGCTTTCGGGGCGAATTTAAGGATACGCCGTCGGCTGATTTTCATG